TTACTTGATAACGAGATCTCACGATAATAATCTTTCTTCTTCGTCCACTGTGTGGCTTGTCGTGAGGAGATATCGGGATCTCTTCGCGACCTCCGCACAACGCGACCTCGGGCGAATCGGCGCGGAAAAAAAAGGAAGGCGGAAGAGAAAGAAAGAGAGAGAGAGAGAGAGAGAGAGAGGGAGGGAGGGAGAAAGAGAGATGGAGAAAGACGCAACAGGCTGCGACGGCGGAGTCGCGTGCGCCGCCGCCTAAGGACGCGACTTCGAACGAGGGGTTACGGGCTGCTCGGGTAAGGCACACTCTAGGTACTGTTAAGCAGCGCGCCGAGGAAGTCGCTGTAATTTTCTTCGCGGAGTAGCGGCGCGTTCGCTCGCTCGCTCGCTCGCTCGCTCGCACGTCCGTACAACACACAGGCTAGGCAGCAGGAGGGGCCTTGTTCCCACGCCCGGTACCGTGATCTTTGCCGTGCTACCTAGTCCTAGGAGTTGATCTCCCTCTCTCTTTTCCTCCGCGGACGCGCGGCTGTGCTCCTCGCCCTTTCTCCTACCCGCTCAATTGCCCCCTCTTTCCCTCTCACTGCCCCCCTCCCCGCCACCTAGCTCTTCTGTCTCTCTTTCTTACTCCCTTTCTCCTTGTCCTTCTGTTTTGCCCTCCACCATTATGCGTATTACGTAAGGTGGCAATGTGCGAGCCGCTCGTCATACTGAAATAATAATAACGCGTGCACACACAGCCCGAGGCGGAAACGGCCAAGAGAGAGAAAGAGAGGAAGAAAGAGACACGAGAGGACGAGAGGAAGGATGAAGGAAAGAAAGCGAGGAGAAAGAGGCCGACGAAGGAGAAGGGGGAGGAGGGGGTGGGGAACGAAGGAAAAGAGAAAGAGAGTGAGTGTGTGCGCCAAGAAGACGTCCGCGGAAGGTAGCTGTGCGAGGTGCGCGCACGGTTAACATAATTATGGAGAGAAGTTCGCGTGATGCAGCCGCGGTAAACAATCGGTATATTAAGCTACTACTATCCACACGCGATTCGGAATAGCGATTAGGAGCGGATGAGTAACGGAGCGATAAGGGTCGTCGAACCCCACACTCAAGAGAAAAAAAGTCCTCTTAATAGCGTCAAGGCGCGCTCACGTTTCGCACTGAGAGACGATAACGCGATAAGAGATAGCGATATGTTATCACAACGATGTTGGATCGTACATGACTCAATTAATTTTCTACCGCCGACGTTTAACCGGCGGACAATCGCCTCGTGTCGTCGTATCGTAGCTGGGCTTCATGTTGAACGATTCTGCGGCGTCTCATAATAGGTCTGTCCCTTTTTAGCTGAATCAGATTACAATTTTTGCCTTTGGAGTAAAACAAATATAGAAAACCCAGTGTTGGAGAGAAAGAAACACAGTTCCAACAACCCGATTGACTACTATAGATACACTTTATAGCAACCTTAAGTATATTAAATTACGATATTCAGCAATGTTGAGTCTTATAACACTGATCAAACCGCATTCATATTTTTATCACATCGAATGATGAATAGAAATAAGAAAGAAATACGAAAAAATTGTCGTTAAATGTAATGAAAAAACGTTAAATATAATATGAAAAACGTGACTTTTTATATTAACTTGTTGCTGCATCAATACAACCAAGAAATTGATATTACTGTACGATGTAAGTTTAACTTATTAATTCAATACAGTAAACTTACTTCATAAATGTGATTAAAAGAAAATAAAATTATAAAATGTAAAATTTTCATCATTGATAGTCTCACGTTGTGATGATCATAAAAGTCTATCTGGGACACTAGTTCGGCTGAAGGAAACAACTAATTACGAGCAAACCGCTTGTCCTCGTCGATGTTTCTCTCGCTTTTTTCATAATGAAGCGACCAGAGAACCGCGTATCTCATTCCCCAACGAGCGTCCGAAATTGGGCTTGTGCCGCTGAATAAAGAGTCCAGTCTTCGTGGAAGGAACGCACAGGTACGCATTGCCGGCTTACGAAAGAAGGACACCGCGGAGATCTTTATCCGCTCGAAGCATCCGAGCCTGTGCTCGTTCCGGCCTTTGTAACGTCTTCAACGACCCACGAGGATTGCACGTGAACACCGTGAATCTCGTTCACGGTTCTATTAATCGCCGGCTACTTAGGTCGCCGACGTAGGCACGGCAGAGCGATTTGCGTGAGCTTTCGGGCTTGTCGCGACATTATTTTCAACGCCGGTATCGAGTGTCCAGGCGAAATTCGCGAGGGAGACGGCACCGAGACTGCATACTGGGACGCAAAACAAACGTGCTACGGGATATTTAAGCCTCCTTGAGCCGCACTGCTCGCCAGGGGTGCTGGGTGGGCGGATAGATGGGTGCACGGCACCCTCCACACAGGACGACAAGTGCATATTCCCAACGCAGCGCTTTTAACCACCACGGACCGCCCGCAAACAATCGGATTAACGAAGTTAAACGAGAGGGTGGCTACAAGATACTCGCTCCCTTCGTACACCCTCTGTCGTGGCACGAAATTCGAGGATCGCATCTGTCGCGTTTCGCACGTACAGGATCGCCGCGAGCGCGACTTCGCGGGGGTGTAAAGAAAGGAACAAACGAGAAGGAGAGAGACCTGCTTTCTCCCTCGTGTATCGTACCCCCTGCGAACGCGAGATTAACGGTCTCAGTCATATCCGAGCTGTTTCGTACGGGGAATAATCGCAGAGGGGGTTGACGTCGTTGATCCCTCGATCGAAAGACCCAACGAGCAATGACGCGTTCATGGCGAAGCGACTGAAAATTTCGGTGCTGCCACTAATGGCACGTAATCCGCGCGAATAACGGGGCGGAAGATAAAAAGGTCGGCCTCGATGACGCTAATCTGATTTAAAATTCTAAACCGAACGGACAAAGGTTAACGTCCAATCGGTCGATCGATCGATTGGAGTCCTCATTCCATATAATGTTTTCGAGACAGAGAGACAAAAAGAAAGAGAAAGAGTGAAAGAATGTCGACCCTTCGTAGGAATTAGTAAGATCCAATTTGGACGATTCAACATGAATCCCTTCTTCATCGCCGCGGCGCGGCGAAGCCGATCGAGCCGCGACCGAACTGCGATCAAGTTGTGGTGCATGAGTACACGAATGAAGAACGCTGCGATGAGCAACGAGAAGCGGAGAAACGGGTATCCAGGTAATTCACGGTTGCGTCGAGAGCTGCGTTCGCTCGTAGCGTGCTCGTTCTTAATTAGATAGAGAGTCCGGGCGGAATGGTAACGCGCGATTGTGCTTAACGGTTTTGGATAGAATTCCTCTACTCGGAATTACAACCAAGCATGAGGATTCCCGGTTGATCTGCATTCTGTCCGCCATTTTCAGAGATGACATGAATGGAAATAAAAGAAAAGCTTTAAAATTGAAATGACGAAACACGTTGTAGCTTCTCATTCACTTTCTCCCTATAAATGGCGAACAGTGTTCTAACTCTGACTTGAAGAACTTTAACTTTAAATAGAGTCCCTCTAGTCAGAGTTAGGACAAAGCATGACGATTCTCGATTGGTCTGCGTCGTATCCGCCATTTTTAGGTGCGACGAGAGTGGGAGTGAGAAAGAAACTCTAAGACTGAAATGGAGCATGCTGCAGCTTCTCTCTCTCTCTCTCTCTCTCTCTCTCTCTCTCTCTCTCTCTTTCATTCACTTCCTGCCTACAAATGGTGGACTATGTTTTGGGTAAAGTTCTTCTTGTTAAGACAAAGTATCATGATTCCTGATTGATTTGCATCCTGTCCGCCATTTTTAGAGATGATATGAATGAGAGTGAAAGAGAAATTCTAAGACTGTGAAGTAACGAAGCGGTTTCTCTTTCGCTTCATTTCTTCCCTACAAATGGCGGACGTCCTAACTTTGGCTTGAGAAACTCTAGTTTTGGACGTCGCGCGTCGTTGCCGCGCTCGACCGTGCGGAAACGCGAGCGGAAACCGACGCGTTGCCAAAGACGAAGGCGAAGATGAAGAAGAAGACGACCGAGGTCGTGTTTGCACGGACCCTCGCGCGATTCTCCGACAACCGAGTTGGAAATGAAGTTTCTTGCGGCATGTTAGCGCGGTAGTGCGCGACAGAAAACGGGTTAAAGCAGATCGCCGGCTGTTACCACCGAGTTGTGTATTGCAAGAGTCTTGTGAACGGTCCGCAGCCTGTCGCGGACGATGACTCACGGGGCGCGCTAATGAAATTCCGCTTCTTCGCGTACGACAAAGAAACGCGTGCCTCTCATGCTCATGTTGTTAAGCGGTGTCGTGCCCTATCGCTAATTTCGAACAAGAAACCTGCTATTGAGGCGCCCGTAAATAACTGAATAGACTGGAAAGGCGTCCAGATAGAATCGACGTTGACGTAATCCTTTTAACAGTTTCGAAGAACCGACGACGTCAACTACTATTCTTTTTAATTGAAGATAAGATACTAAAGATGGCATAAGATAGGAAAGTGAAACACTTTTCTTAGAAAAGAAAAAAAATTTCTTTATTTTTTTCATTGTGCACGGAAAAAAGTTTGGTTAAATTAACCAAATATATGGTCGAGTATGAACGATCCAGGTATTCCGATTGAAGTAACCCGAATTCTATCTAAGTCAACCAAAAATCTTGTTAACTTAAACAGAATTCGGATTACTTCATTTCTGGATCGTTCATATTCGACCAAATATTTGGTTAATTCAACAAAACTTTTTTTCCGTGTAGATTAATTAATGTTTTTAAAATGAGATATAATCGGGGTCTCCACAAAGATACGCTAATATCATGCTAATTAATTTTCAATCGCGTCTACGAAATGATGAAACGAAGTTCAATTTTGGTTAACATAAATATCTGTTAATCATTGTACGTTTCTTGAGATTTGGGGAACATTTCAGTGGCGTGAAAACGTTTTTAGTGGGGAAAATTTAGAGGGGAAATCACGACTCGCACACAACGGGGACAGAAGAACAATTGCGTTTTTGTACTCACCGAAAACATTCTCCGACAGTCGCAACCGTACCACTCTGGTTGCCCTATTGACTGTCAACGGTCGCCTTGGTCGTTGACAGGACAAAGACATCGAGCCTCTAGTCTTTAAAACGTGGAATCCGTGAAAGACCACGTTACGATGTCGTATTTTCACGTTAAAAGTATTACGTGAAAAAATGCGGAAACTTCGGTCAGGGGTGCTTTGTTATTGTTAACCTTGTTAGCCTTGTTAACAAACTGTGCAGAGGATATTTCAAGTCGGGATCAGAGTTGGAATCAAGCAAGGATCTGATATGAACGAAGTAATTATTGTATAATCACTTGGAGCTCGTTTACCGCGAGGAATCGCGCGATAAAAATTGAATTACATCAAACAGATGACGTGAGATGCGACGAACATTTTCGTAATTAAAAAGAGGAGAATCACGCACAGAGGAATATGAACGTTCATCGCGAGTACGCGTCGTTTATTGACCGTGAAAGTGCAAGATGCAGGTACATCAGTTACAATGGATCGCAAGCTCGAGATAAATCGTTGGACAAGTGTACTCACTACAGATGGAAAACATCCAAGGCACGATTGATCGATCCTCACCGCGGGATCTTCGCCGCCATTTCAGATCCAGGGAACGAGAAGGGAGAGGAGGGTGAAGGAAGATGGCGAGGGGTGGAAGGACAACGGCACGCGCACGGTCTCACATTGTCTTTCACGGATCTCTCACCCTTCCGATTTTTCCCGGATCGGAAGAAAAGCGCGGAGACGTAGAGGAAAAGAGAGAGAGAAAAACAGAAACAAAGGAGGAAGGAGCGAAACAGAGAGACGGAAGAAAAAGAAAAACGAGTAGCGAATCTACGGAACGGGAGTAGTCGGGAAAAGGCGGGCAGCTTGTACCACGCCGCTGCGACGACTGGCTTGCAGAAGCAAACTCCCCATCTGCTGTGTTGGTTGCTGCCCCAACCAACTCCCTGCTGTCATTACGTGTGTCTGTCTGTGTGCCGGCCGACGGTGTGGCCTGCTGGTACACGCACACAGCCGCGCGTGCACTTCGGCAAGCTGTGCGTGGCGTGGCGGCAGACAGGCAGTACTCGAACGGAAAGGCCGGTCGGTATATATCTGCCGGGGATCTCACCTTGCGAATTCCACGATAAGGCGCGGCACGCCTTATCTCTCGGTATTACGCGAAGAAAGCTGAAGCGATGATAAGAGGAAGCGCGTGGCACGGGTCGCGCGTGAGCGTGATCGTCCGGCTCGTAAGCGGAACGCTTACCCCAAGCGAAGTTGTGAATCAGCGCTTGGGAATTAATAGGGATAACGGGAAATCGATAATTACACAGCAGCTGAGTTAATGGCGAAGCGAGCGCACGCTCGGCAATCGGTTGGAGGACGTCGTTGTCGCGACGACCGTTTGAAGTTATCGCGGAAATGATATTCCTTATGAGAGAGAGAGAGAGAGAGAGAGAAGTCGGAATTAGAATTAATTATTCTCAATTGAAGATAATTTCAAGGAACACGAGGTGAAAAAGAGAGAGAGAATAATTGAATAATTCTTACGATTAAGAATGCTCTGTTGCACACACACACACATGTAAACAACGCGATGGGCGCCATCATTTCATCGGGGCCAATTAAAAATTTACCCCTCGAGGCATCGAGAGACCTTGTGAAGCGTCAAGCGCGAATTATGTCGTCGTCGATTGCGCCGTCTGCGACAGTAAAATTAACGAATACACATTTCTCAGGCGCTAAAAACGCGAGTGTGCGACCCTTACGCGCGCACACGGTGGCTACGCAAGAAGCATGCACACGTGCGCGCGCGTACACAAACACACACGCTCGCACGCACGCACACGTAAGCGTGCTGCGTACGTTCGCAGCTGCAGCTGCTCGCGGGAGCGGAACACACGGCTTTTGGGGATGCATGCCGTAGCAACGGTTGCGCACCACCTGGCCCGACGACGAAGCCAGCGTCGAGCCACGGCATTGGCGTAGGCCCTCCTCTCGTCAGCCAAAGAACGAGCCTGAAAAAAGGGCAAGAAGGGGCGCACAAAAGGACCCGGGCTTTTGGAATTCCGCCACCCTCCCTATTTATCCGCAGGACCGATCGATAATCCTGAGAAGCCGTATCCGCGCTACCCTCCTGTGCATGCGTGCGAACTCATGCATAAATTCGCTAATGGCGGAAGAAGGAACCGCGACGACCTATATTTTTCGGGAAAGAGCGAGCTCTCTCGGCGTCCGGGAGACGGATGATCGGCGGGGAAAGCTTGGCGTAATCGCGCATCGCGCGATTCATGGCTCGGCGATTTTCACGGGACATTAGCATACTCGATCGCTCTCGTTCGCTCGCTCGCATGCGCCGAGCGAGTTGCCGCTCGATTAAGGGTGGCTCGAGCGCCGTGACGGATCCGCGGCGGCTGTAATCACTCTCGCGGTAACGCCATAATCACCCTTCCTCCTCGTCGTAAGAATAAGCGCGATCAATGCACAGAGAATATAAAAAAGGAAGGAAAGGTATTATCGATACGTGATGGGGAGACGGTCATCGATCGCGCGGAGAGTGAACAAAATTCGCGAGAGTTAAAATCGCGACGCGACGCGACACGGCGAGTCGGCGGGTTAAACGGTTGCTATGTCGCGTCGCGCCGCGTCTCTCTCCCTCTCTCACTCGTCCCTCTCCTCTCGTCCTACCCTCGTTTTATTTTTTATACAGGATTCTCTCAAGAGCGGGGGTGGTCCTGCAGCGCAGGACCCCCCCACCATCGCGGCCGTTGCCACCATATACGCCCATGGGGTTTGCGCGTTGATATCGCAATAGAAGCTCTATCGATCCCGCACCCCGACACAGCGAACCGGCTGTTGTCAGGGGGTTGATAGCGATACGCGAGCTCTTACGCTCGCACTACACACGCGCCTGGCTGCGGAAGCTCTGAGAGCGAGACAGGATCTCTTTCTTTCTTTCTCACTGAGAGGGAAAATGGTCGATCCAATTAAAATTATAGTTGGATCCGACCATGGTAGAAGCAACATGTACATAAAGTTATGCTATCACTAACACTATAGTAGAATTTAATAAGAAAATAGTTCGCTTAACCATGACTTGTATTGATCGTTTCTCTACGCGATCACACACTGTAAGTATCAAATACTTTGTTCTCGGTGCTTTGACTCTCGTCAGGAACCATCGTTATACGTTTAGTCTTTATGTAATGGTCTTACGCGCAGATCTTGCGAATTTACATGTCGAAACGCGAGCGAAGGGGATGACGAAAGGAAGGAGGTGCGTTGAATATCGCGTTACGCAGGTTGCGTTCGTAAAGACAACGACGACGACGAGAAGGAGGACGAGGGAGGCGCAGCGGGCCTTAATCGTCGTAATGCTTTTACGTCGATAAGTTTCACGGTCCATCTGCCCTTAGCATCCTGAAGGGAAGCCACCGGTTGCACCATCGGCTCTTCCCCTTGCGCAGCGAGCGACCCCGCGTTTCCTTCCTCCTTTTCGCCCCTGTTTCCTTCCGAGGGCTCGATCTTCCCCCTCTTGCGCGGCAAAAAATATCTCGCCGATGTTCGTGGGAATTCACATGCAAATTCCCACGGACAGGGCAAAGGAGGCACAGCTTCGTGTCGCCATTAACGTAGATTTAGAAGGCCGCGCATACTTGGCCTCTCTGCGACAAGCTCCTTCGATATACCTTCGGTCTCGAGCTGCCTTCGAGATGGGCGAATCATGTCAATTGCCGAGCTGCGCAGGAAAAGACGTAATTGGACGACGACGAGAGGGACAGATACACGAGAGAAAGAGAGAGAGAGAGAGAGAGAGAGAGAGAGAGAGAGAGAAAGAGAGAGGATTAAGATGACGACGACGACCTAACAACTACCCCGCGAGTTTCGGTCATCCTCTCCGGTTGCTCCGGTCGTCATGGTGCTTTCTCAGTTTACAAGCAGAGGTCGACGGTAACGTCGTGACTCTCAGCCGTGACAGATGAAGCGGAAAGCGCGCCGTTCTCTTTCCATCGAAACGATTCGCCTTTTTGTGCACTGTTGAACGATGATACTCGGTGGAGGTGCGCCCGATTCGATTAGAAACGTGAGGGATGTACACTTCGCCTTGCCTCGCCTCGCTTCGCCTCACCTCGCCCCGCCTCACACGAGACTGCGACTCGAATATTACGGACGATCGCGTACCATTTCCGAGAGACCGGTGCCAGTTATTACCGGCATAGATATCGAGGTTATCGACGGATCGTTAAGGTGAAATCCCGGCTAATCGCGCGTTTGTACGTACGTATGTGAGGAGAAAATCGGCGATTTTCTCCGCGCGGAATTGAGACAATGTCTGGAAGGCAGGCGTAGCGCGTGGGAGAGGCTCGTTAAGGTGCGATCATCAGCATCGCCCCGGGACGCCGTACGTTAAATTAGACGCAAATTACCGTGCACGGCGATCCGCGACGGCGGAGAGAAGTTTCGATGGGCGGACGGAGCGGGGCTGCGCTCTTTCTCTCCCGAGCTGCTCCCGTATACGATACTAATTGTTGTTTCATATCGTGCGCGCGGAACTCGTCGATCGGAAAAGCTCGCAGAAGACAAGTGTTCCGTGCGAATCTCAGCTGTGATTAATCTTTTTTTCACTATTACACGCCGTTCTAACGGCTTCCCACCAAGAAATTAAAGAAATACTACAGTTGTTAAGTAATCATTTAGGGCGAAACGCTATTATAGTGGCTCTTTTCTTACGCAACAACTGACATGAAAAACCGGTAGATAAATCATCTTAGTCAATAGTAATAGTTCGCCATTGATATCGCAAAGACAAATTTTATCCATTTATTAGTTATTTCTTTGTGTTAACGTACAAGACATAATGAATTGTACAATATGAAGTAACATATCGCGCTGTCTTTATCCACCTAACCAAGTCCATGTCAGACTAGGTATTGGATATCGGAACTTGAAGAGAAAAAAAAAGAATCAACATCGAAATTGGTTGAATCTCGTCGAATTCTAATCTCTCATTCGCTAATCATTATCAGACTAGGTACTGTAAGTTGAGGTTTGCAAATTTGAGATTAGAATTAGATTACTCGGCCAATTTCGATCGGTTCTCTTTCTTTTTCCTCAAGTTTCGATATTCGACACCTAGTCTGATATAGGTTATGGGTAGTAGCAGTGATCGGCGTCTGTTACCTCACATTGTGCGATTCAGGGCACAGCTGCTGTCCAATTCAGCCGTAGCGAAAGGCGCAGTGTCACGAATGTTCCCAATTTTGTGCAATTTTGAAGTTTCATCACGAAATTATACGATTCGTCGGATTTTAATCTCTAACTCGCAATGCTCAATTTGCAATACCTAATCTGATAAGGACTACCGCATTCAGGAGGCGAAACTGCTCAGTCATAACGCAAAGGGTTAACGAGAGCGATGTCTTACTAAGGTATGCATTAATAGCTATTACTTGAACCTCGCCTCAAGTGAAATATTCAGATCTCAATTCAGTTACATGAAGGCTTTTCAGTTGAATCTTGATTAGAAGTATAAACGTCATATGAGTCATAAAAAAAAAACTGAAAACTTCGATCTTACTCTGAACAAGAATCTAAATATTTTACGTAAGATCAGTTTCAAGCGACAACTATTAATACAGGTTTAAGAGCCGATTGTTCCAACCTCTTGGTAAGTTACCTTATAAGTAAATCATGTGTCTGTCTCTATCCTTCCTTTTTTTCTTGAAGAAAAAACGAAGACAGATATATGATTTAACTGTCAGGTAGCTTATCAAAAAGTTGGAATAATCGGCCCTAAGAGTCGTATTAATTGTTGTTACCTGAAACTTGTTTCAGGTGAGATACTCAGATTTCTATTCCGAGTTGAACCCAAGTTTTTCAATTAAATCATAATATATGTGATATTTATATATCTATAACCGTGATTGAAAAATTCTCATCTAAGCTACCTAAGTTATTTCTCTTGATAAGCTACCTAACAGTTAAATCATATGTCAGTCTTTGTTCAATTAGGAGAAAAAACGAAGACAGACATATAATTTGACTGTCAGATAACTTACCAAAAGATTGGAACAATCGGCCCTAAAGTCCGCACACTGCGGATTGGAGATGGAAGATTGCGGATTGAAGATTAGATTTCGACGAATCAACGAACTTCAATCTTGGCTTGCTTCGTTCCAATTGGTCAAGTTTCAATTTTCAATTCGCAATCCTCAGTCCGTAATGTGACACGGGCTTAAGACTCCCAACTTTTCGATTTGAAGTTCCGCGCTAATCTCGTGAATCGCGGTGAATCAAGGCGCGTTCTTATCGCGAAATCGGCGTCACGATGATCTCATCGACGCGCGGCAAATCGAGCCGCGGGACGAAAACCACGGATTTAAACGGGCCGAACGACGTGCGATAATTCGGCGCGCATCGTTTATCGCCCGCGTTCGGGCCGAGTTGCGAAATTCTCGGCGGCGCGGCGCGCCGCTGCGAGCAGAGCACGCCGGAAATTCTCGGATCGGCGCGGCGCTCGTAAATCACGGGCGGCTAAAGCGACTAAAAGTCGCGGGAGTTTACGCCCGCGTGCCGATAAACGCCGGTCGTTTCCATCGTCGACGGCACCGCGCGGCGGCGGTTTACACGCCGGCGGTTTGGTTTATCGCGTAAAACCGGTCACTCTCCCTCTCTCCCTCTCGCGTCTACGCACGCGGCCTTTCGAGGAAGCCGAACACCGGCCGGCAAATTGATCGCTCGGCAACAGCAGCGGGGACGAAGGTGGGTGGAGGACCGCGCGAGATCAAACCGATCGCAAAGATATCGTAAAGTTCGCGCGCCAAAGTGCCGCTCGTCCGTCCCGCGGAAGTCATCCCGACGATTCATCGTTGAGGTAAAAGCACCAGTGGTGCAATTCCGTAACTTTTAACAGTCGTTACCGTTATGTTGTCGTTGCGCAGCTTTTCTATTATATCCGCGCAAGAATAACATAGAGAAAAATATTTGATATTTATAATTATAATCACATACACATAGAAATTACTATAAATTAGAGTTAAGAAAACTATTCTTTTGTTAAGTTCTATTATAATGTCAGTGATAATAACCTTCAATGTATATTACTATCACTTTCGCGTTAAAATAACGAAATAATATGGTCGAGATAAAAAATAATTGAACAATTGAGCGAATTTATCTGTAAGTGACGCTCAATCCTAATTGTATGAGCCGTCTCTTTCGAAGAGATCAGATGTAGTACTCTCTACCTTATACAGATGACGTCACAACTGCCAAGTTTCTAGAAAACTCGTGCGCCTGTGCCGCCATCTTTTCTTCTTCATTTCTCCAAAGTGAAGCCGTAATAAAGAGGTTTGAAGACAATGTTTCAACTACGTGATCGTCCATGGCATTCCGAATTCACGTGTAATTTGTTCAAAAGCCGAAGTGAATAAAGAGAATTCAGTCTCTGATTCTAAATGTCGGGATTCGAGGTCTACTTCAATATTATTTTCAGAGCGAATGTACGAAGTAAAAATCTACAATTTACGTTCTTTACACCAGTCACATATTTAACGTGTTTAAATGAGGAAAACGGATGCCACCTTTCTTATTAATATATGCAATAGCGGTCGTTTTGACACGTGGTATATATATATATATATATATATATATATATATATATATATATATATATATATATATATATATATATATATCTCTCACAC